TAACCAGGTACGTGATACCCATAAAGGGTACATTGGCCCATGTGTTTTGCCACTCGAGTAGACATTATCTTTGACTAGGGTGACCATTCGAGCTTAGACCTTTAGTTTCTCCACCAAAGTGTCCATGTTGATGTTGCACTTAGACAACATGGAAGAGGTGACCATTCGGTGAGCTTAGACCTTTAGTTTCTCTCCACCAAAGTGTCCATGTTGATGTTGCACTTAGACAACATGGAAGAGGTGACCATTCGGTGAGCTTAGACCTTTAGTTTCTCCACCAAATCGTCCATGTTGATGTTGCACTTAGACAACATGGAAGAGGTGGCCATCTGAGCCTGCACAGCGAGACGAAAACGTTTGAACCATCCTGCCCAGTCCCCTACCCTACAAGTGTCATCAGAGAATAATAATCGGAGAATCGTAAAAAGGTACATTGTTTCTGAACCGTACCTTAGCTGGAGTCAGAACATTTTACCGATTGTTTGCCAACAGTCTTGAAGGAAAGTAGGGGGCCGGTTATAGCATGTGTTAATAATCACACCTCCGTAATCGCATACACTAGTGATTATATGGAGAATTTCCACATACCGCCTTGTGATAATACACAGGATTTATATTTCACCAACTGCGAGATGGTTTATTTGTATCTCGTAAAAGTAAAAGAAGTAGAATTTAATTGGAGGTCTTCTTGCACCTCCCGCGTCATCCAGTAATGGCACAAATCTGATTTAGATCAAAGCTCCCCTAACGCTCGTAAGAAAACTTTTTTTTTTAGCTACTTTTCCAATGTTGCTCTTCTAACGTTACTTTCCTAATGGTACTTTTTAGCGTAATGACCTTCTATTTACTTTTGCAGCAAATTTTCCTTTTTTTCGGCACGCCTAGATCAGCGGTGTAACGAAGTCGTAGGATCCCAGCTATGCGAAACCCGCGGACTGTTTCTGCTATTGGTGTCTAGATTTGGAAAGAAAATATAGAACAGACTTAATGAGAAGTCTGTAGAATTTGTAATGAGCAGGAAGTGTTTATTGCCTTCGGAAAACGAGGTCTCTGATGTGCGGCTCGGCCCACTAAGGCGCCACCATCGAACGCCAGGCACAAGATGGTGGGTAGTGTATACGAGGCTACAGAACGAGGCTTCGAAAAGACGAACAGGGTTACTTTTTTACACTGGTTATATATACACACTGATCAGGCGTGATATTATGACCAACCACCACAACCTGGTGGACTTCGCTAGACCTTTGAAGGTATGCTGTAGGATCTGGAACCAAGCCATCAGAAGATCCTTCAGAGGCTGCAAGGTGGCCTTCAAGTGGACATGTAGGCTGCAAGGTATTAGTGGGAGGACTTCCCATAGACTGGACATTTTAGTGCCCATCATTGGTATTAGTGGGAGGAATAGTGCCCCATCATTGGTGTCAGTGGGAGGAATAGTGTCCCATCATTGTGTATCAGTGGGAGGAATGGCCTCATCCAGTGGAGGAATAATGCCCCATCATTGGTGTCAGTGGGAGGAATAGTGTTCCCATCATTGTAGTGCCCCATCATTGGTGTCAGTGGGAGGAATAGTGCCCCATCATTGGTATCAGTGGGAGGAATTGGTGTCAGTGGGAGAATGCCCCATCATTGGTGTCAGTGGGAGGAATAGTGCCCCATCATTGGTGTCAGTGGGAGGAATAGTGCCCCATCATTGGTGTCAGTGGGAGGAATAGTGCCCCATCATTGGATGTGTCAGTGGGAGGAATAGTGCCCCATCATTGGTGTCAGTGGGGGGAATAGTGCCCCATCATTGGTGTCAGTGGGAGGAATAGTGCCCCATCATTGGTATCATTGGAGGAATAGTGCCCCATCATTGGTGTCAGTGGGAGGAATAGTGCCCCATCATTGGTGTCATTGGGAGGGAATAGTGCCCCATCATTGGTATCAGTGGGAGGAATAGTGCCCCATCATTGGTGTCAGTGGGAGGAATAGTGCCCCATCATTGGTGTCAGTGGGGTGATTGGAATAGTGCCCCATCATTGGTGTCAGTGGGAGGAATAGTGCCCCATCATTGGTGTCAGTGGGAGGAATAGTGCCCCATCATTGGTGTCATTGGATGGAATGGTGCCCCATCATTGGTGTCAGTGGGAGGAATAGTGCCCCATCATTGGTGTCAGTGGGAGGAATAGTGCCCCCATCATTGGTGTCAGTGGGAGGAATAGTGCCCCATCATTGGTGTCATGGATGGAATAGTGCCCCATCATTGGTGTCATTGGATGGAATGGTGCCCCATCATTGGTGTCAGTGGGAGGAATAATGCCCCATCATTGGTGCAGTGAGAGGAATAGTGCCCCATCATTGGTGTCAGTGGGAGGAATAGTGCCCCATCATTGGTGTCAGTGGGAGGAATAGTGCCCCCATCATTGGTGTCATTGGAATGTGAATGGGATGGAATGGTTCCCCAAGGGCTGGATATAGGCCAGTAAAGGACGACATCCGATTGGTGAATAAGAGTTTTAAGCATGAAGAAAAGCTTCTAAACATTTTTTCTAAATAATTATTTATCAACCCCCCCCCCCCGCCTCCCCCTCCCCCACCCCCATCATCCCTCTCTTTCTAGAGACCTAAGACTTTTTAGAACCTTGAGTTACCAGCCAACTTTTTTTTGATCAGTTAAAAGAGACGACGGCTGTTTGTGGAGCACTTTGATAAGCAACGGGCTGATTTGATTCTCCTTTTATCTTTTTTCATATCTATTCCTTAGACTTGTATGATCAGCAGTTTCCAGATCCCTCCGCTCCGCCAACCGGCAGGGGTAGGGGTGGGGGTAGGGGTAGGGGTGTGGATAGGGGTGGGGGTGGGGGTAGGGGTAGTGGTGGGGGTAGGGGTCGGGGTGGAGGTGGGGGTGACGTTACGAAGGAAAGTGCCTCCATACATGCCATGATAACACAGACATCCTCTCCGCCTCTCAGAGAGCCATGAGGGTCTGTAGAGACCCCTTCAATATTCAGCCATCACTACACTCATGGGAAGGGTGCAACGAGAGCAGCTTGCCTGCTAAAAAATTCATATTGTGTACGCCGGTGACCAGTCAAGCTGTCCATGAACTGAGCCTACCAGCAGATATATTTCTTCATGCCAAAAAACGTACCCCCCCTCCCAACAAAGCCTTCGTTGGATTTTCTCTCCAGAAAAGTGGCGCCATCTTTGTTCAGCCATCATCCAGGGTCACCATCTATTGTTGGCCCAGAGGCAGGGGCGGACTGACCATTTGGAAAGTCGGGCACGGGGTCAGTAGGGGGCTCCATGAGATGCCCCTGGTACCTTTTTCATAGGCTTTTTTGAGTTTGGGCAAGGACACAGGGGCCCCATGATCCCCTATTGCCCGGGGGCCCCATGAGTTGTCCGCCCCTGCCCAGAGGTGTGAAGTGTGAAAAGTATCTAAACAACACATTACTACAAATGGTTGTAAAGTCCTGGCCATCAGACCTATATGAGTTTTTTCACTCAATTCAAAATAGTACGTTTACCCCCCTCCCCAGTTGGAGCTATAAGATCCTCCCCGTTTCTGAGACGGGGGATAACATACACTACAAGGCCAAAATATATATATATATGTACACTATGTGCCAAAAGTGTTGGGCCGTCAGCCTTTCCACGCACATGACCTTCAATGGCCTCCCAGTCTTAGTCCGTAGGGTTCAATATTGAGTTGGCCCCGCCCTTCCACACACATGACCTTTAATGTACACCCAGTCTTAGTCCATAGGGTTCAATATTGAGTTGGCCCCGCCCTTCCACGCACATGACCTTCAATGGCCTCCCAGTCTTAGTCCGTAGGGTTCAATATTGAGTTGGCCCCGCCCTTCCCACACATGACCTTTAATGTAACATCTTACCTTTAATGAGTTTGGCCCCTTCCCACCACACATGTCCTTTAATGTCCGTAGGGTTCAATATTGAGTTGGCCCCGCCCTTTGCAGCTATAACAGCTTCAACTCTTCTGGGAAGGCCGTCCACAAGGTTTAGGAGGGTGTCTATGGGAAGGTTGGACCATTCTCCAGAAGCACATTTGTCAGGTCAGGCACTGATGTCGGGGAGGAGGCCTGGCTCGCAGTCTCCGCTCTAATTCATCTCAAAGGTGTTCTATGGGGTTGAGGTCAGGACTTGTGCAGGACAGTCAAGTTCCTCCACCCCAAACTGACTCCTCCATGTCTTTATGGACCTTGCTTTGTGCACTGGTGGGCAGTCATGTTGGAACAGGAAGGGGCCATCCCCAAACTCTTCCCACAAAGTTGGGAGCATGAAATTGTCCAAAATGTCGCCTTAAGAGTTCCCTTCACTGGAACTAGGGGGCCAAGCCCAACCCCTGAAACATAACCCCCACACACATAATCCCCCCTCCACCAAACTTTACACTTGGCACAATGCAGTCAGGCTTTACACCACGGCATCCAACGCTTTGCATTGCACTTGGTGATGGAAGTTTGGATGCAGCTGCTCGGCCATGGAAACCCATTCCATGAAGCTCTCTACACACTGTTGTTGGGCTCATCTGAAGGCCACACCAAGTTTGGAGTCTTTAGCTATTGACTCTGCAGACAGTTGGTGACTTCTGCGCACTGTGCGCTTCAGCATGTGCTGACCCCGCCCTGTCATGTGACGTGGCCTACCACTTGGTGGCTGAGTTGCTGTTGTTCCCAGTGGCTTCCACTTTGTTATAATCCCACTAACAGTTGAGCGTGGAATATTTAGTAGCCAGGAAATGTCACGGATGGACTTATTGCCCAGGTGGCCACCTATCACGGGACCCACGCTTGGAGTCACTGAGCTCCTGAGAGCGACCCATTCTTTCACCAATGTTTGTAGAAGCCGTCTGCATGCCTAGGGGCTTGATTGTATACACCTGTGTCCATGGAGGGGATTGGAACACCTGAATCACATGATATGGAGGGATTGGAACACCTGAATCACATGATATGGAGTCGGACTGGAACACGTGAATCACATGATTGGGAGGGGATTGGAACACTTGAATCACATGATATGGAGGGGATTGGAACACCTGAATCACATGATATGGAGAGGATTGGAACACCTGAATCATATGATATGGAGGGGATTGGAACACCCGAATCACATGATATGGAGGGGATTGGAACACCTGAATCACATGATATGGAGGGGATTGGAACACTGAGTCACATGATTGGGAGGGGATTGGAACACCTGAATCACATGATATGGAGGGGATTGACACACCCGAATCACATGATATGGAGGGGATTGGAACACCTGAATCATATGATTGGGAGGGGATTGGAACACCTGAATCATGTGATATGGAGGGGATTGGAACACCTGAATCACATGTTATGGAGGGGATTGGAGCACCTGAATCACATGATATGGAGGGGATTGGACACTGAGTCACATGATTGGGAGGGGATTGGAACACCTGAATCACATGATATGGAGGGGATTGGAACACCTGAATCATATGATTGGGAGGGGATTGGAACACCTGAATCATATGATTGGGAGGGGATTGGAACACCTGAATCATGTGATATGGAGGGGATTGGAACACCTGAATCACATGTTATGGAGGGGATTGGAGCACCTGAATCACATGATATGGAGGGGATTGGAACACTGAGTCACATGATTGGGAGGGGATTGGAACACCTGAATCACATGATATGGAGGGGATTGACACACCTGAATCACATGATATGGAGAGGATTGGAACACCTGAATCATATGATATGGAGGGGATTGGAACACCCGAATCACATGATATGGAGGGGATTGGAACACCTGAATCACATGATATGGAGGGGATTGGAACACTGAGTCACATGATTGGGAGGGGATTGGAACACCTGAATCATATGATATGGAGGGGATTGGAACACCTGAATCATATGATTGGAGGGGATTGGAATACCTGAATCACATGATATGGAAGGGATTGGAACACCTGAATCACATGATATGGAGGGGATTGGAACACTGAATCACATGATTGGGAGGGGATTGGAACACCTGAATCACATGATATGGAGGGGATTGGAACACCTGAATCATATGATTGGGAGGGGATTGGAACACCTGAATCACGTGATATGGGGGGGATTGGAACACCTGAATCACATGATATGGAGGGGATTGGAACACCTGAATCACATGATATGGAGGGCGGGGACAATACTTCTGGTAATATAGTGTATATATATATATATGTAGCAGCTGTGGGCAGAGAGCGTCCCATGTACAGGCGTTGCTCCCGTCGCCCTCAGTGGAGTTCCCAGCTCCAGAATGACAATGATGTATCGCGGCGGCCATGTTCCTCGATGGCGCTGCCAGTCTCACTCAGCCAATTTCCCGCACAGGTAGGTTTTGCATAGTAAGGTCAGCAGATATTAAACCCAATTGAGGATTTCATCTGCGGCTCCATCCCTCCAAGGAGCTTGCTGAAAACGCTTCGTTACCTGCCTGATGAGCCTCCCGCACGAGGAGCAGTGCGCCGGGGGCACTACGGAGCCATCGTTATCTCATCCACCCGAGCTGGAAACGTGGCGGCAGAGATGATAGGCTCGGCGGTTAATTGTGAACGATGAAGGAGCCGGCGCAGCTAAAGACGGGAGGAACGTTATGAAGATGTCCATGTGGACAGATCCTTCACCCCAACGAGCCTCCAGTATTCCGTCACGGAAAGAAAAAAATACGGTTGTTCCAGCCGAGGAGATGGCAACCACGTTGGAGAGAATGTCTGGAGCGCGATGAGGGAAATTCCAAGTGTTCTTCCAGGAACCCGAGAGTAATTTAAGGATCAACTCCGTCTAAATCCATTCATGGTGCGTCTTCTTCTGGGGTCTCGGAGATCTTCACGTGTTTCTTCCAGATCTGGGCCGTCATCCAGTGTGAGACTTCCTGCAATCAAGACCGCTCGCTGCTGCTCTCTCTGCTTGTGCAGGGAGACTGGTCGTGTCTCCGCCCCCTCCTGTAGGTTTCCGTTGTGGCCTGCTGGGCCCCTCCCACAGCTCTACTCTCTCTGCTTGTGCAGGGAGACTAATCGTGTCTCCGCCCCCTCCTGTAGTTTTCTGTTGTGGCCTGCTGGGCCCCTCCCACAGCTTTAGGCTCTCTCTGCTTGTGCAGGGTGACTGGTCGTGTCTCCGCCCCCTCCTGTAGTTTTCCGTTGTGAGTTGGGCCCCTCCCACAGTTCTACTCTCTCTGCTTGTGCAGGACAACTGGTCATGTCTCCACCCCTCCTGTAGTTTTCCGTTGTGGCCTGCTGGGCCCCTCCCACAGCTTTAGGCTCTCTCTGCTTGTGCAGGGTGACTGGTCGTGTCTCCACCCCCCTCCTGTAGTTTTCCGTTGTGAGTTGGGCCCCTCCCACAGCTCTGCTCTCTCTGCTTGTGCAGGGAGATTGGTCGTGTCTCCGCCCCCTCCTGTAGTTTTCCATTGTGGCCTGCTGGACCCCTCCCACAGTTCTACTCTCTCTGCTTGTGCAGGGAGATTGGTCGTGTCTCCGCCCCCTCCTGTAGTTTTCCGTTGTGGCCTGCTGGGCCCCGCCCACAGCTTTACGCTCTCTTTGCTTGTGCAGGGGGACTGGTCTTGTCTCCGCCTCTTGCTGTAGTTTTCCGTTGTGGCCTGCTGGGCCCCTCCCACAGCTTTAGGCTTTCTCTGCTTGTGCAGCGTGACTGGTCTTGTCTCCGCCCCCTGCTGTAGTTTTATGTTGTGGGTTGGGCCTGCTGGGCCCCTCCCACAGCTTTACACTCTCTCCTTGTGCAGGACAACTAGTCTTGTCTCCGCCCCCTCCTGTAGTTTTCCGTTGTGGCCTGCTGGGCCCCTCCCACAGCTTTAGGCTTTCTCTGCTTGTGCAGGGAGACTGGTCGTGTCTCCGCCCCCTCCTGTAGTTTTCCATTGTAGGTTGGGCCTGCTGGGCCCCTCCCACAGTTTTACACTCTCTCTCCTTGTGCAGGACAACTAGTCTTGTCTCCGCCCCCTCCTGTAGTTTTCCATTGTGGGTTGGGCCTGCTGATCCCCACCCACAGCTCTAATCGCTCTCCTTGCGCAGGGTGGCTGGTCTCGGCTCCACCCCCACCTGAAATGGGTGGAGCCTGCTGGGTCCCTCCCACAGCTCCGCTGTCTCTCCTTGAATGCGGGGGAACAGGGGACCAGGGGCGGACTGACAATTTGGAAACTCGGGCACTGCCCGACCCGGGGTCAGTAGGGGGCCCCATGAGATGCCCCTGGTACCTTTTTCATAGGCTTTTTTGAGTTTGGGCAAGGACACAGGGGCCCCACGATCCCCTATTGCCCAGGGCCCGGGGTCAGGGGTCAGTAGGGGGCCCCATGAGATGCCCCTGGTACCTTTTCCATAGGCTTTTTTGAGTTTGGGCAAGGACACAGGGGCCCCACGATCCCCTATTGCCCAGGGGCTGGGGTCATTAGGGGGCCCTATGAGATGCCCCTGGTACCTTTTCCATAGGCTTTTTTGAGTTTGGGCAAGGACACAGGGGCCCCACGATCCTCTATTGCCCAGGGGCCTGGGGTCAGTAGGGGCCCCCATGAGATGCCCCTAATACCTTTTTCATAGGCTTTTTTTGAGTTTGGGCAAGGACACAGGGGCCCCACGATCCCCTATTGCCCAGGGGCCCGGGGTCAGTAGGGGCCCCATGAGATGCCCCTGGTACCTTTTTCATAGGCTTTTTTGAGTTTGGGCAAGGACACAGGGGCCCCACGATCCCCTATTGCCCAGGGGCCCGGGGTCAGTAGGGGGCCCCATGAGATGCCCCTGGTACCTTTTCCATAGGCTTTTTTGAGTTTGGGCAAGGACACAGGGGCCCCACAATCCCCTATTGCCTAGGGGCCCGGGGTCATTAGGGGGCCCCATGAGATGCTCCTGGTACCTTTTCCATAGGATTTTTTGAGTTTGGGCAAGGACACAGGGGCCCCATGATCCCCTATTGCCCAGGGGCCTAGGGTCAGTAGGGGGCCCCATGAGATGACCCTGGTACCTTTTTCATAGGCTTTTTTTGAGTTTGGGCAAGGACACAGGGGCCCCATGATCCCCTATTGCCCGGGGCCCCATGAGTTGTCAGTCCGCCCCTGCAGGAGACATAACTCGCGCCGCGGCCATGAAGCAAGGCATTGCAGAGGCAGCTAGTGTACACCCCTTACAGCTAAAGGGGTAGTGTTGGAGGGGTGGTAAAAGCACAGCTCAACCGCAGGGTTTTACCGCCATGTGTAAATGAGCAACTGGAAATTCATGATTATTTTTTTGGTGTAAAGGTGGTGTTGTCCTTTAAGAAAACACATCCATGTACCCATGCCGGTGTTTTTTTTCCCGGTATTTTCCCCCACCCCTCCATAGCTTCATTATTGCCGCGTTCTGATTTTCACACCCGGCGCAGCGCTCTCCATGGCGAGTCGTTTCCAGACTCCGCAGACATTCGACTTTTCTGGATTTTCCCATTTTGGCCGCGCTCCCGCCGTCCCCAAGGCGTTTCATCTTTCAGCTGGTCCCGCGAGCCGCGCACATGGCCGAGCGAGCAGATCCATCTATCCCGCGCTCCTCTATCAGGTCCCGGCGTCCCCTGTGCAGTGTAAGCCTAATGCAGGCGGACAGGCGGGCGCGGCGCGCGGACGTGTGAGGTGGAGGAAGCACCGCAGTGCCCTGTAATGCCGACTCGCTGCCAGAAACATCCTGCGAGATGGGGGGGGAATCCTGCGAGATGGGGGGGGGGAGTCCTGCGAGATGGGGGGGGGGAGCCCCTCGGCTTGTCAGGGAGAAGGAATTTTTCCATGAGTGGTCATTAATTGCTCCAGTCTGTGGCTGCCATATGTATCCTGACAATCCCCGATATACCGCGCACGAGCAACGTTCACTCCGCACCCTGACTTCACCCTCCCTCCTCATGCAGCGCTCACAGGGAACGGGACTGTCTGAGCTCCACCCAAAACACCATTCATTCATTTGTAGGATTTAAAGCAAACTTCCCCTCCATCCGTCCATCCATCCATCCATGTCTCCCTCCATCCATCCATCTGTCTCCATCCATCCATCAATGTCTCCATCCATCCATCCATCTGTCTCCATCCATCCATCAATGTCTCCATCCATCCATCCATCCATCTATGTCTCCATCCATCCATCCTTCCATCTATGTCTCCATCCATCCATCCATCCATCCATCAATGTCTTCATCCATCCATCCATTTGACCCCCCCCCCCCACCCTCCACACACACACTTTCCAATAGAAATGCATGAGATCAGGACTGTCTTACTGCATGAGCACCCGTGGATCATCTTCCATTATGTTATACCTGACAATTGTCCCGGATTTGCCAGGACAGTCACTCTTTTTACTAAGCCATCCCAGGATGGACCAGACAGCGTCCCGGAACATGGACTGTGCCCCCCTGATCCTAGTACTGTGCCCTCCTGATCCCAGTACTGTGCCCTCCTGACCCCCCCTCCTGTACTGTGCCCCCCCCATGATCCTAGTACTGTGCCCTCCTGACTCCCCTGTACTGTGCCCTCCTGACCCCCCCTCCCCTGTACTGTGCCCTCCTGACTCCCCCTGTACTGTGCCCTCCTGACTCCCCCCTGTACTGTGCCCTCCTGACCCCCCCCCGTACTGTGACCCTCCTGACTCCCCCAAGTACTGTGCCCTCCTGACTCCCCCCGTACTGTGCCCTCCTGACTCCCCCTGTACTGTGCCCTCCTGACTCCCCCCGTACTGTGCCCTCCTGACTCCCCCCTGTACTGTGCCCTCCTGACCCCCCCCCTGTACTGTGCCCTCCTGACCCCCCCGTACTGTGCCCTCCTGACTCCCCCTGTACTGTGCCCCCTCCTGACTCCCCCTGTACTGTGCCCTCCTGACCCCCCCGTACTGTGCCCTCCTGACCCCCCTGTACTGTGCCCTCCTGACTCCCCCCCCTGTACTGTGCCCTCCTGACTCCCTCTGTACTGTGCCCTCCTGACCCCCCCCCTGTACTGTGCCCTCCTGACTCCCCCCTGTACTGTGCCCCTCCTGACTCCCCCTGTACTGTGCCCTCCTGACCCCCCCCTGTACTGTGCCCTCCTGACTCCCCCCTGTACTGTGTCCCTCCTGACCCCCCCCCCCCTGTACTGTGCCCTCCTGACCCCCCCCTGTACTGTGCCCTCCTGACTCCCCCCCTGTACTGTGCCCTCCTG